TATGCCATGAAAAAGACTCGGTTGTTTTTGTGCTCAGCAGTATTGGTGCGGCTTGTCCTCAATTGGTGTTATATTGGTTTCGCCGAAAGAAACGTTTAGATGGTAAAGAGTTGTTTGTTACATCGACTGGATTTGATGCCGAGTTGAAATTGGAAGTGCTGTCTGTCATTGACAGGTTGACTAGTGAAATATATCATAGATCTCGGCAATACCGTGACCATGCACAATCAAATCTGCTTGATGATAACTGGTATTGCGCGCTAGGCAAAGCTAAGAGTCAAAAAAGTGGAACTTTTTGCCGAACTTAGAAGATTTCAGTATTGTATGAAAACTTCAGTAATCGACAAAACCAATGGAGCCTTTGAGCTTCGTACAAAAATATCACCTTGAAGAATCCGCACTGAATATTGTGATCTTGCTACGCATTATTCATACTCAAGTTCTTAGCATTGCCAACTGTGAACGCTTTTTCTCAAAATGAAGGTTATAAAGAACTAATTTCAATCAGCAATGAGCCAGACCTAGCTCAAGGATTTAGCAGTTCTTTCCATACAGAAGGAACTTGCCGATGGACTGAATTTTGCTATTGTTGTCGATAAGTTTACCGCTAGTAAAGCAGGAAGAGTATTTTCGTAAATTTTATACGCGGGTGTTATAACAGTACTAATGCCTACATTTTCAGCGACACTCTAAAATTTGATCTTAGATTGTTATTCTTTGATATGATATTTCGGGTACTATTCACAGTGGCGAGGGTTTACGATTTTACAAATGTAGTTGAGATGCGAAAATCTCACGACCGCTTAGCGCGGCAAAATCATTTTCCACGCCACTGGCTCTAACCCTTGGCGCTAAGTATATGTGTGCTCGGTGCAACCACGACCAGGACGGAAGCCAGTCCAGCTTCTGGTGACTCGGCTCTCACTAAGATCAGTAAGTCGTAAAAAAATGCTGCCCTTGAGAAGTTTGGCCGTAATGGGAATAAGGTTAGTGCCTTCGTGATTCTCGCAAAGTTCGCTGATCAAGTTGCAGATGAGCAGGAAGGTTGACAGTCGCCTGTCTGAAGACACTACTTTGGTGTCCCAAATCGTATTAAGTGAAGAACCAAATGCATTCAGCAAAGAGTCACCTTCATCTTTCAGTAAAGATGTAGGAAGGTCGCCGGGTCCAGGAGCCTTGTTTCGTTTCACCACAGCGAGCTCATGTCAAGTGTCTTCCAAAGTGAAAGGTGTGACATCAACTTTTCACCTCGGCTCGGGTGATTCAACAACTGGCAATGTCGCAGTAGTTTTGTTGAAATGCTCCTGAAAATGTTCCGTCTAACGGGCTAGTCGGCGATGCCGAGTCTTGATCATTCGTCCATCTTTCTCAGCCATTGTTTCTTACGCTGATGGACTTTTAGGACCCGCGTTCCTGTTGAGCTGAAATAGCACTCGGCTGTTTTCAGTATCACTGTCATTTTCCATCTCACAGACCCTTGACACTCACCAACGTTCCCAATCAGTTCGGCGACTGCTTGTCAGACGTCATTTTAGGGCGTTACAGATACGCCGAATTTCATTATCCATTGGCACCTGTTTCCGTGCTTCGATCAGTTTGGTCGAATCCCCCGTGATCCATTCACAGGTTGGACGTCACAACTTGGCTGCACAGCAGGCGTCATAGACTTTCTTTATGGCACACTTGAGACGATTCTAGTCAGCGTTCGGTTCACCAATCTCCGTTGATAGATGGTGGACCAGTTCGTCATGATATTGTTGCACTGCAGACTGGTAGTTTGAGCTACAAACAAGAAGCTTGGAAGTTAGTCCCTTCTCTGGAACAAGAAGAGTGAATCTCGGGCATGCGCGCACTGGGTCATGCTTGGAATCAAGGCACGTGCTCCGAATTGACCGACAGCCTTGGACTGATGCGTGCCATCTGTAGGTGATAGCAATATGATCAATTTGGGTCCTGATCATTAAGGAATTCAGTGGCCACTAGGTGACGCGATTTGAACGTTTCTATTGGAAAGCAATGCTGTTAAGGTAAGGGTTGTGCTCGGCGCACAGTTGCAGGATTCAATCACCATTGTCTGTCTGTCTGTCGTGCATCGACCCCGAAGCGGCCGCCCAGATGTTGTACAGAGTCTGATAAATGACCCACTTGAGCACACATGTTACCAGCAACAATCACGATGTCAGTATTCTTCGCCATGATAGGAATTTTCCTTGATACCCTCCGAACTGCAGTCAGTAAGAGCATAAACAGAGACGATGCAAAGCCACCTTATCTTCCGACGGTGCTTATCAACTCCACCAGAGGTTCAAAGTCGAACCGCCCACATGTGGCTTACATAACGTGGCCATACATCCCGATTTAGACGGGACAGTCCCGCATTTCAAACTGACGTCTCGCTTTTTAAAAATTGCTGGGCGTGATACACTAATCTCTCGCTTGGAGGTCGATGACCTCGGAATGTTCCGCTTTGAGCATGTAGGGTGTAGGCGCTAGAAGCAAAACCAATCAGTGATGGTGTGCGCACGCCATAATTGGGCGGGATAATCGAGTGCCTGAGTGGGCAACGCGGCAAGGAGAATTTTTATGGATAATCAAAAAATGGAAGGAGCAAGCGATGATGAAGGTTTGTCGTTAATTGAGAACGCCTGCATTAAGTACAGTTTAGTGGGAAAATCATGTCTAAACGAGCGTGTAAGATGAATACTCAGTTGGGACACGATTTTCCATTCATTAAGAAGTCAACACGCGACAACAATTCACATGTTCGATGTGACATGCAAATCTGTATTTTCTATTGCTTACATGTCAGATCAGATATCACAAAGCACTTAAAATTGGATCGTCATAAGATTGTAGTGTCTACGGCAGCATTTGTTATCCTTGTAACCAATTATTTCTGATCAGCAACTACAAAGAAGTATTGTTCTCACACCTTGTTAGCTATTTTGTGCCGTCATCGGGTTTTAAGTGAAGTTATTAGACTTGCAGTCAATTACTAATGACACATCGGACACCATTTGCTGGAACAAAATAGTATGACTAGAAAAACTGTGGGATTTTGTGCTGACAACGTCAACACACATTTCGGTGGCGTTCAGAGTGCAGAACAAAACAATGTATTTGCGAAATTGTCATCTTCGATTGGAGAAATCCCTGTGGGAATCGGTTGCGTGCCCACATTGGCCACAACACATTGCAAACGGCAGCTAACTCTCTGCCTATTGTTGTTGAAACAGTTGAAGTGAAAAATATTCTAATTTTTACATTTACACTTAGTGTTGAAGAACTAAAGGAATTCCGTGACTGCAATGGCAGAGTGCCAACGCATTCTAGGATACGAGAAAACCAGATGACTTTCACTCATGCCAGCAGTGGAGATAATCCAAAAGGTCTTTAAAGCGTTGATATCCTATTCTTTTGTCTCGACAGAAGTGTTATTCCGCATTGCAATGTTTCTTAGAAAATCCCTACGCTGAGCTGTGGCTCTTCTTTACACACCTCTGCCAATATCCGCGATACTGTACTTAACATTGAGGCACAAAATATTTCGGCACTGGAAGTATCGTCTGCAATGTCCGTGCTCCTTCAGAATTGCAGGGATAGGAGCAGAAATAGCTTTATTCCAAATGAAGTAGAGATACGAACTGGCCCACTAGAACAAATGGGTCTCATCGAAAAAGTTATGTTGAATATTATCACTAGCTTCTACGACAGTTGCGTCGATTATCTACAGGAATGAATGAACCAAGTTTTCGAGCTGATTTCCCGATAATGCAAGCAGCAAACCCACTACAATAGAGGGCCCATGGTACTGACTAATGACGTAAGTACTTTTTGTTATTGTAGTGAATTAATACATGTAGATATCTATCTTTTCAGCTTTTTTGTACGATCTGCATTTGCTGAAACGACGGGGGTTGGTTATGTGTCCCACATTTGTCCCTAAAATATCCGTGGAGCGTCCGGCTTTGACCCGCGAAAAGTCGTACCACCTTAGGCTCTCAGCATGTTTGCTGAGGGCGATACCAACAGCG